TATATATATATATATATATATATAAATATTTAAACATAAATATAAATTCTTAAATTCTTACACATAAATTCTACATAAATTCTTACACATAAATATCCTGAAATTACTCAATGAGCAGAATTGAGAGTCTTATCTGGAAGCTTACCTGGAAGAATGGGGTGTCCCTGATGCAAAACAGGAAGTTCCTGACTGATTTCACCTTCATTTTGAGCTTGTGTCAGCCACTTTTCAACAGAGAAATCATATTTTTCCCCTGTAACAAGATTCTGCAATTGCAACTGAAAGACAGACAATTGAATTTAGATTATTCTAAGATCTTTGCAGAAATGGAATAGGGTTTTTTTGCTATCACATTCCATTGTAATAGGACTGAGTCTTTTAAAAAAGACTCATTTTTCACACTCATTTTACAGGCATGGTGTATGACTTTTCCATGTGCAATGTAATGCAAAGGTTTCATATGCAGTTTTCATAGTATATGAGCATGTTTACATGTGTTTTTGCATATATGCTTTCCTGTAACTGTGCTTCTTCAAATTCTAAGAACAGGATTTTGCATATCCAAAGTGAACAAAATGATTTTACTCCATGCCCTGAAATATTCAAGAGACCCTAAAGAAATTTCAAGTCTATTAATTACATTCTATAACAGTGAAAACTTTTCCCTAAGAGACTATATTAACTTTACACTTAAAGCATGATTAGGATGATGTACAAATTATTTGTGTATTATACTATATTATATTATATAGGATATATTATACTATATCCTAGCATTCTGGTCATATAGCACATAATATGTTCATGACTGATATTTTGGGTGATATTTTCATTTTTCTAAGCTTTTCAAATGTAACAAGGGTTTATGGTACATGCAGTTCATTTATCATTAGAGTAGCATATAGACCTAAATAAATAAATAGCATTAATTTATGTCACCTCTTTGCAGTGCCAGGCAGGGGTTTCTCCAGAATTATTATGGCCTATCCGTATTTTGTATAGATCTCCCAAATCTTCCGTGTGAATCTGTTCGTATAATATAGCAAACCAGATAGTAGATCATATATCTTTTTGAAAACAAATATGTCATAATATAACTTCTTTCACTATATACGGTTTGTAATACTTTTCCAATCAAAACACTTTTAGGGAATATCCAGAGAAATAGCTTCTACATTTTCAAATGAAACTAGTTACTTTGAATTTTACTTCATACTAAAGTATACCTAGATAATTATGTATCTCTTCCGAACATGTTGCCCTCAAAATGATTTGGCTCTTAATGATGATAAACTTCAGATATTGTGAAGAATATAATGGAATCAAACAGAAACTCTAAGACCTTAATTGTGAAGAACAGAGTATTCACTAGAATAACACTTGACAGTTATTCAAAGACTTAAAATGATCATTTTAGAGGCCAGAATTATTTCAACATAGGAAGATTACTGATTAATTTATTTTATTATAGCAATTATTGTTCAGTTTAATGTACATTTTTCAGGAACTAAGGTTCAATAAACTAAAAATTACACAATTACATTTGTGTAGTCATAAATGACACTGTTTTGACAAAGCATGAAATAAACTCATAACATTATGAGCTGCCAGCAGCTGTATTTCAATTTGAATCTTTTTTGTCCCATACATTTGAATAGACAAAAGGCCGGCAACCATCTGACCAATGGAATTCCAGCAATATTCCATTTCTGATTCTTCTAAAAGCTCTGAAAACCTCCCCCATTTGATCTACTTGTCCCTAACAACAAACTGCAATATCTACTAATAAATAGGCTATAGTGTACTGCTATCTTCACTAGATTTATATTAATGAAGTGGCAATGGCAGATTCAGAACTGTGTGCTAGTGTGTTGGTTGTGAAAATTTCCTTTAGCTTAAAAAAAAGAGAAAAAAACATCTAAAATAGATGTTCAAGCAGACTTAAGTTCAGATAGGGTAGTCTTATTTTTTTGGGGAAAAAAACTATTAGGCATTATGACATATTTTCAATTACTGTTGTGTATAAAATGTAATCACTATTTTACAGTAAAATAAAGGTTTGAAATGGTTTCTGCTCTTTACGCAACCCAACCTGTGTAATGGCCTAGATGTCCCATTCTTCTGTTCTTTCTTCTTTTGGTAACAGACAGACTGATACCAAGCTGTATTTTTTACCATGTGAGAATTAGCTCTCACAAAAGCAAGAAAAAACAGTCGTTTAAACAAGTCCCACCTATTTGTTTATACATTCTTCTGAAGTAAATCCCAAGCTAAGGATCAAAGTGGAAAAACAGTAACAGAAACTGTATTCATTTTAGCTGTTGTTGAGTGAGTTGCATCACAAACTGAAGCAGGTACATCATTATGAACTGTGGTGGTGCAGTGTTTAGAATGAAGTGTTGCAGACTGACTTTGCCCACTACCAAGAGTTCGATCCTGACCAACTCAAGGTTGACTCAGTCTTTTATCCTTCCAAGTTCAGTAAAATGAGGTCACAGATTGTTGGGGGCAATATGCTGACTCTGTAAACTACTTAGGGCTGTAAAGCACTATAAAGCGGTATGTAAGTCTAAGTGCTATTGCTGTTTTTGCAGCTAATATAATTTAAATAAAATGACTTGGCTCAAGTCTTGTGGCAATTGAAAATGGAAAATGGCACAATGATATGAAATGATACTGTTTCCCACACATAATCACATATTACTAATATTAAACAAATAAGATTTTTTAATTAAATGGCATTATTCCAAATTCTTGTTATAATAAATACCTTACCATAAATGTATCTGTGCTTCCTCTTTCAAACACTTTTTTCTCTTCCCCATATAGAAAGACAGCTCCTGAATTGCCTTGCTCCCCATATAAAGTGATATAAACTTGCGAGCTGGTCCCTGAAGATGGCTGGTCACTGGTAAAAATTACTACCTTCCATTTCATAGCTACAGAAACATAAAGAAGTTATTTAAAACTATGTTGCCGTTGGGAATATTTCCATCCTTATGAGATCAGCTCTTCCCTAAGTCAGGTCTAAGAGACCTGAATGTCAAATTACTTATTCTTCTTTAAGGTTTTATTACACATCTAGCCACATCTTGGTTTATAGCAGCTGGTTTATTATTGGCTGTTTTATTCAAAGGTGTGTATTGAAGATTGCTTTTATTTTATTTGGTATACTGCTTCCAGCTTTTAGGAGATAAAAACTATTTAAAACACACAATTATAACAATATTTAACAAAAGTGAAATTAATATACAGTTTGTAAAAATAGTGTACATAAAAGTTTTACTTCCTGGAGTTTGTGTATTCCATATCTAAATTATATTTACAACAACAAGAATGATAATATATTAACCCCTTAACACAGTGCATAAATTAATTTAAAATGGCAGCACTTAATAATAAAATTAAGGGCAGTGTCATTTAAAAATATAATAATTAAACATTTCCTTCAATAACTAGGAAATAAGATCAAATAATGTTAAGTGTGTCTCTAAAGCATATATAAAAAGATAATCCCAAATATTTATCAATACTGCTGAAAATGAACACCAAATAATCCTTAGAAGTTGATACAGTGAAAGTAATTTTCAGTTCAAGATATAATAGTGTGGAGAATAGGGTGGAGTCGAAGAACACTGTCTTCTTACTCAGCATTCAGGTATTGCGTAGACTAGAGTATCAATCATGTATTCATTTAAATATATGTTTAAAAGTAAACAAAATTTGCAAGATCTTTTCTTTATTCTCTTCCTTTTTACCCCTTTGGAGAAGGAATCTGAAACCAGTTAAATTAAACCAGTTTTCCTTACACAAATATCTTTTTCCATAAACCTGACTGGAATTTACAACAATCATATTTGTTGGTGGCTCATCTTCTTATCTTCTCTCTTAGTTATTCAGGAAGGAACTCTGTCATTTATATTGGTTCATTTTGTCCCAATACTTGTGCCTCAATAATGACTTGCATTACTATTGATAGCAGCAACAAATCCTCATAGAATTATTATTTTTTATAAAGGCTTTTTTTCACTGTTAAAATGCAGTGTTAGGTTCATTTGTTAATCCAACAGAGCAGTATTAAAGAAAGAAAAAGATAAAAAACTTGTTTCAAAACTTCAATCTAGATATCAAAGATAAAGGAATATTTTGTTCCTTCCAAGTAGTTTGTTCTTTTGGTTCTCTGAAAATAATTGCATCCTTGGGAGATTTAACTGGCAACAGTTACTTCCTTGCCTTAATACAAATAATCCTGAAAAATATAAATACAATGTACAGCTGACATACAGGTTTTATTAAGCAGCTCTAAACAGTTGCTATCCTAATAATTTGCTTCTACTTTTTTTTTCAGAAACACCACTCAGAATAAGCAGCTTTCCCTATTTGTTCTCATAACTACTTTTCAATATGATACAGAAAATGGCCTTCCACATCTGGGCTGAAAAAAAGGGGAAATGCCACAAAAAATGGATATCCAATTGATAGCAAAAGGATGCAGAAAGGTAAATATCCAGAGAAAATCTTGATGATTGCAACCCAGATTTTGTAACCCTTACCATACATTAATCTTCCCTCACTAGTGTTTCTCTGTAATATAAGAATTGTCTCTATAAGATTCAGAAAAAAATAAGTTAAACCGCATCCAAATTTCTCACGTTGTAGATTTCAGATTGTCTTGTTATTTCTCTTTCTCTTTCTCATTCTGACATTGCAATGTATGATTTTATATACTATACTTAGATCGGACCGAAGGCGGCGTAGACCTAGAAAACCTAGAACTACACCGCCTTTGGTCCGATCTAAGTATAGTATATAAAATCATACATTGCAATGTCCTATCTGTCAATTTTCAGCTTCAACCATAACAACACAAGAGCAAACAATAGATACAAACTCAAGGATAATCACACAAAACTTGATTGCAGGAAATATGACTTCAGCAACAGAGTGGTCAATGTCGGGAATACTCTACCTGACTCTGTGGTTTCTTTCCCAAACCCCAAAAACTTTAACCGTAGACTGTCTACTATTTTTTATAAACAAATTTTATTGATTTTTTAAAGACAAACAAAACATAAGACATAAAGGCATAAAACCTCCTTTCTAAAAAAATTACTTATAAGTTTTAACAAGGCAAATAAAACATTATTTTTAAGGCATAGTTCCACATTATCACATTTCCATTTAAGCACATATATGTCTTTTCCAAATTTCTCATTATTTCTCCCTTCACTTTTATTCATTTATATTTCTTTCTATCAAGGTTTTATTAATTCTCAATCAAATATAAACATTTATACAGCATAGTTCCAAATTATCACATTTCCATTTAAACACCTATATATCTTTTCCGAATTTCTCATTGTTTCTCCCTTCACTTTTATTCAATTATATTTCTTTCTATCAAGGTTTTATTAATTCTCAATCAAACATGAACACAAAATACAAAACATAAAACAAGACATAAAAACATAAAACCTTCTTAATTATCATTTGTACATGTCTTTTCCAAATTTCTCATTGTTTCTCCCTTTAGTTTTATTCCTCCAAGGTTTTATTAATTTTCAATCAAACATAGCTAACCAAAACACAAAACATAAAACATAAAACTTCTTTTGAAAAGTGGCTTAGCCCCGGGTTACATCTTTTTTTTACAGACCTAAATCAAATTCATGCTCACCTTATATACCATAGTAGACTGTCTACTATTGACGTCACCCTTTTCCTAAGAGGTCTGTAGGGGGCGTGCATAAGCGCACCAACGTGCCTACCATCCCTGTCCTATTGTTTCTTTTATTTTTTATTTTTCTTATATGTATCCATGTATTCATAACTATGTTTTTACTTATTATATTGTAAGCAATTGACAAAAATAAATAAATAAAATAAATAAATAAAACATCCCTCTGCATATTCAGTTATTATAGTCAGCAAGTGATGTAGTTGTTAAGGTTCTGTGTTCTGACCATAGTGACCCAAATTCAAATTCATTCCATAAAGTTCATCAAGTAACTTTGAAATAGCACTAGGTCAGTCAAATGTATCCCCACAAACATATACCAGTTTGATATTGTAACGATAAACAGTGGGGGAGTGGATTCTATGAGTATTGCCTTGAATTCCTGGAAGAAAAGCGACATCATAATCCATACGTATTAAAAGTGTACTCAATGCCTTGCTAAGTAAGTTTGATTTGTACCTGTCCAGTGTTACAGGTAAACCTCTTACTATACGTATAAGTGAAGTAATACTGTATCTAGTTTACTAATGTATCTAAATATTATAGAGTAAAAATGGTGAAAAGAAATGTCTATTAATGACCCCAAGAAGAATGTGAGTGGTCAGATTGTTCTGCATATTGCAGGAGTAATTGCTATGGGGACATCTGCCATGGTACACCAGACCTCAACTCATTTACAATTTTCATATAATTAAACCAAATCCATGCTGACAAGATCAGATATCTCATTCATGTTTACTATGGTACCCTAATAAATATGGATTTGCACACATAAAGTCAATCACATGGGTAGCCGCTAAGGATATATTTTATTATCTCTGTTCCAGAAACTATTCCATTACTGAGAATAGTAATGATTTACATCTTGCAAAAGCAGGTGCTGAAAAAATAAATCAAGACAATTTTGATTTACAAAAATCATTTCTAAAATCAGTTACCGGTAGTGTCACCAAGCCTGGCATTTGCCTTCAATTTAGATTGTTCACCTCACAAGCAAATTAGGAGTCAAATTAATCGGAAATTATTTATTTTTCTTCATTCAGTAATATCACAACTTCATAATAGTAATTCAGTTTATTGTTCATAGTTTTATTGTGGAGGACAATAATTTTATTGTGCAGTAAGCTTAATGATATTTAAATTCAAATTCAAAATATTTATTACAATCAAAGACCAGTACAATTAAAAATACTCAAAGAACATACAATTGAAAGTTTAGAATAAAATAATAACAAATAACAAATAAAATCTATATTAAAATCATAATTTGGCAGCCTATCTATCAGTTGCATGTAAACAAGAGCATGGCCTAAGCTATAATGTGACATTAATCCTTAAATTGTGAAAACCTATCGTTATTAGGTACTAAAATACAACAGGGTGATAATATCAAAAGATTTGGTGCATTAATTGTTTAAAATGGTTATAATGGATTATTCATCAAGTTCCAGTGAATCTTTAGTGCTGCTGTGCAGAATCTAGCTATTTGTGCTGGGACTACAAAGTTAAATCTTTAAGCAACCACTGAAGATAAACAGTACTGGAACAGCCGGTATGCCTATTAATTAATAGGAAAATAAATCTTGCTCAAATGTCTCTATAAAAAGAACAGAAGGAAGGACGTGTCCAGAGGATTCCATGTCTCCAGAATCACAGAGACAGAGTCTTTCAATCAATGGTATTCCTTTATATTTGCTGTCCAAGACTGCAAGCTTAATAATAAACATTGTTTTAACAGAATGTACATTTTTATTTACACAAAAACATAGCTACCATTGGCTTGTCAGGAAATATGAACCAGAAATAATTGCTATTCAACTTAGACTTTAGATAGGATTAATAAGGCAGAGGGATATGAAAACTATTATCTGGCTATCTCTCTGTATTTATCTATACATACTTCCATACAAATTTAGACAGTAGCCAAATTCTTAAGGACTCTGGGCAGTTTAAAAATAAAAACCAAAATATGGAAAAACAAGTAACAAGTAACAACAATATACCAAGTCAGCAAACAAAGATATAGATTAGCTCCATGGTCCTTCTATTTGTCAGATCTTCCCATGGTGAAGGAGAGTCATGAAAGGACGTCTCCTTCATTTGCCTGAGCTTTGATAGAAATTCAAAAAATTCTGCTTTGCTAATTCTCCTGATCATTTAAAGATTATTATTTGTTCTGACAAATGTTAATTGACCCTATCC